AATTAACCTATCTAAAAACATGCGTTTAAAAACAGGGGTTTAGTTAGCACACATTTGCAAATACATACGTAAGCCACAGAGCCGCGTCACGGCACCCTGAGTATCTGTGGTCCTAACTCTATAAATCTAGAGAGTCCTCACAGTGGAGGCACATGCATTTAAATGGATAGAAACAAGGGCAGGTGAACCTGAGGGTGCCCCACCCCTCATAAACAGGTATTGGGAGTGCACCTGACACCCAGCATATAGCACAACGGCAGCCTGGGAGTCCAGCACACCCACTGAACCTTAGCACATATACAGAAAAAACTGATCATCTGCCCAAGTCTATAACTGGCTTATTAAACAGTGAACATGGAGGGGCGTCACTATGTGAGCAATTCAAAAATTAAAGATATCCAGTTCAACTTGCCAGCCTACCCCAATCTAATCACGGCTACTATCGGCAAGGAACATGGATATGTACAACCTTATCAGTAGAGGGGGATAATACATACATACGTGATTTTGCACAGCCCTGCCGCTCTGTAGTAGTATTTCTGATGTACGGCGGCGGGCAAACGCTTAATATAAAAGGAAATATCTGATCCACCCATGTCTATGGTAGGCACAATATTTGTACTCAATAGAACCGAAGAAAAACTAAATAAAAATTACAAAGAGAAAAAGGTTTTTGAACTCTAATGTTCACGTAAAGAACCAACTGTATATTCCTATATTTTGTATATCAGGATCACGATAATCTTTCAAACCTGATATCTTACCAAAATTAACGAGACCTAATAGTCTCAACCTCAGTCTATTGAGAGACTGAATGAGTCATAATGTAGAATAAGATATATATATAATCCTAATATTGTTTTGCATCGGTACCATAAAGACTGATGGGGAAGCAATGCACCAAGTCAGGGGAATTGGGCTCAGGAATAGATTGAATAAGTGGTATTTAAGGTGTATGTCAAAGGAGAGAATAAATTTATATAATCTTAGTCTTGTGTTAAGGAAGAAATAACCCTGAGGAGGATTTTCAATAAGTATCCCATTTCAAAAAACAATTAACTTATAGAGCTGTCAACAAGGGATATTTGAGAACATGAATTCTTTGAATGGATCAAGTCAAATGGGAATCATACAACTTCATGGCGAACTCGACAACAGCCTCTTCTGGACACAGGGGTTTGCCTATAGGCGATGGATGGAGAGTTGTAGGACGTTGTAGTACTTCTGGTTCCAGCAGACCTAGTTTAACCAAAATGTCCTAACCTTCAGTGATATTCGTTGTGACATATGTGGATCCATTATGTGGAACAATTTTTAAATGGGAATCCCAAGCGGTAATTGACATGTGCAGATTGCAAGGCTGATGTTTTATCTTTCATGTTGCAACATCTATCCAACATGGCTGGTAAAAACATCTGCAATTTATATCTGTCTAACAATGTTGGGGGAGTTTCTTGCAGCTCCAATATTTCTTCTTTTATGAGCAAATCTTTCAAACATAGAATATTGTCTCTAAGAGGTTTATCAGGAGGTGGCTTTGGCCTAATCCGGTCACAGGTAAATGCTGATTCTTCACAATCTGGGAGTAAAAATTTCAATAGATGGACTGATGTAGGGATCAAATCTGTAACAGCTTCGGGAATTCCTCTAACCCTGAGGTTGTGGCATCTATTGTGATTGTCCAGATCTTCTGCCTGAGATTGTAATTGAGTAAATGCAGCACGCAGAGGCTCATTATAAGGCAGATTTAACACATCGTGTTTAGTCTCCAATTTATCTGTAGGATTTCCCAAGGTAGCTATTTCCTGAGATGAGTGTGTTAGATGCTTTACCTAATTCTGACTGGAATCTCGTTTGCTAGCTTTGTGTACAAAACTTCTAGGCCAGTGATGACAAAGCTATGGCAAGCGTGCCGCTGCAGGCACACGGAGCCCTCTTTGTCAGGACGAGAGCCAAGTCGACCCAGCATCACCCCAGCAGCAGAGCATCGGATAACAGGGCACATAGGGGCCAGTAAATTATTTCCTGTGTCCCTCGATGGATGAAAAAAATGACATGTTGATCCTAACAGAGATTCAGTGAGTACTCAAGTATCTGTTCATTCTTCAGTATTATGAACCTTGCCCAGTTCACTCATGAACTACAAAACATCTGTGCCTTATGTTGTGGCGATGAGAGGAAAAGTTCTATAGAATCGGTGTGTTACTAGCATGTTCAGCAGCTGAAATAAAAGACTGGTAAACTGCAATTTATGTTCTTAGGCTTACATAATACTTTACCCTGAGTAAGCACCAACACAGGGATTAGACCGAGGGCTACGAATGTGAGTGCAGATTGTGGGAGCATGGCAAAGGTGAGGAGTTATCAGTTGGTGGCACGTCAACATGATTTTCTTTAACCACCTCAAGACCTGACACTTTCACCCCCTCCCTACCCAGGCCATTTTCAGTTTTATACCCCCTGTATACCTGCCATTCACGGCCCATTCAAGTGAAAGGTGGTGCTTGTGCAGGGTCCAAGGGGTTAAAGCAGATAGGCTCTGAGGAAGAGGGGCTAGCCCCTCGACATGTGTTAGCCATTTTCAAGCATTCTCTTGTTTGTGGGACTCGTGCACCATTCCAGACCATGGAAAATTGTGGGTAACGATATGCCTGTGTACATTTGTTGTTTGTGAGTATATATCTGCTACATTTTATGATTAAAATTTTTATTGCGGTAATGCACAAGGCTTGTACGTACCTTTCTATTCTTATTTTATAGGTAAAGAGGTGATACAATGCCACCTCACACCCTGTCAAATGCTCTCTGAAGAACGATCTGAACACGAGTGGGTCTTCAGAGAGCATCGCACATACGAACAAATCCTTATGGGGACATTGACTGGTGTTGTGATCAGGGACACTGTAACCAGTGTGGCAGTGATAAGGGACACAGACGGGAATGGCAGTGAATAGGGACAATATGACTGGTGTGGCGGTGATCAGGGACACTGACTGGCAGCACTGGTCTGGTGACATTGTACTGCTGTGGCGCTGATTAGAGACAATGGGTGGCGGCACTGACATACAGTGATATCAGGAGCCAGTCATTGTAGATAATCACTGCCACAGCAGTACAATGTCACCATAGCGACACTGCACTTCCACTTGTGACAGTATGTGAAAAAAGTTAAAATAAATAATAATTTTAATTATTATGGTCGCCTGAGCTCTAGTAGGTGATTGGGATTATTTACTTTTACACTACCATAGCTTATTACAGTAGTGATCACATGGTATCAAGGCCAATCACAGTGGGCTGGTACCCCCGATCAGTGATCCACTGTGTCTGATGAACACATCGGTCACAGATCGTGCTTCGGCACACGCCTGGGGGCACGTAGTGATACCTCCTCCCAGGATGATGCTAGTCCTGATCGGCTGTTTATCTACAGTGGCTGTGCGGGAAGTGGTTAAATGTTTACTCATGTCCTGTTCATATCCCTGCTGTCTGCCTGTTGCCTTACCTTAGACGAGACACTTGGGGGTAGGGTGACAAACCTGTAATGCTGGAAAGAGTACGCTGCAGAGGAAACACCGATTCCTGAAACATTGTTTAAAAAAAAAATGAACTAAACAAAATATAACACCAAATTTTCTAAAGCTGCCTTTGTAATATTTAAAAGTGTAATACTCATCAGCCTTTCAAAATATTCTATTTTTACATACGAATTGCTCAGTTTCTTTCTTTGCAGTACACAGCAGTTTGCCATGTAAGGGTACTTGAAGGAGGTAAAGGAAAATACACATACACTTTCAGCGAACTCCATTTAGCTTTAATATATATGATCTTATATTTCATATTTCTTTTTCTCAGGGCACATTTCAAGATTCTTAGTTGCTTCAAGACATTGTATGCTGTAAAATCCATCCAATTCTGGATCAGTGCTTGAAAGAAACCTTAAGTGAAAAATGAAGGGCAGTCCAGATTGTTCCTTATAACAAAATTAAAATGGTCAGTAATGTACGGTGTGATGACAAGGGATCTGTACACCGCCACAATGACCCCAACCAATCAAGGTGACAAGGAGGGAGCTGTACACTGGCAGTAGCAATGCAATGACCCCCCCTCCCCCCATGTTACAAAGAGAAAGTTCTGCACTGACAGCCATAGGTCCGTGAAGGAGCAGCAGAATAGTGAATGTCATACTCTCACTGGAGAAGGCCTTATCGTCGGTCTGTTTTGCCAGATTTCCTTTTACCAGCCAGTAAATGTTTGGGTTTCAGATCAAACACGTGCCTATCAGACTCCCCTTTCCTGCCCATTTGGTTCATTTTCTTCTGGGACTTCTTCATTATCATCTTGGCTTTCTTTGCCATCTAAATAAAAGAAAAACAAGGTGATGATGATAATGACAATACCAATAGGCACAGCTTTTATTTTACAGGTTTAAGTTAGACATTTTATTCAGTTTTTTTTTTTCCATTGAGCCCAGTCCTGCCACCAGTTAGGTATTTGAAGGGTGTTAGTTGCCAATTACGAGGAGGGTGGGAGGTGGAAGTGATTATATACTACGGCTTTAGGTTGAGTTAGTCCTAATCCAAACTTTAAAAAGAGTTGTCCAAGGTTTACAAATACTCCTGGATAATATTTAACCCATCTGTATAGCAAAACTGACCCAGAGGGCATCCACATATAGGTGACTGGAGCTCACCTCTTTGTAGAATCATGAAAGGAATACATAAACGGTACGTGAACCATAGGGAATGGTGCTACAACCCTAAAATCCCATAATAATTGACAGGATGAGGTCAAGACATCTGTGCTCTGACTCACACAGTACTACAAAGTCCAAAAGTAAAAATCCAGCACCAGAGCATCTTGAAAAAAAAAATAAAGGTTATAGTTTTATTTCATCGATCAAATGTAAAAAAAAAAGTAATCAATTCCTGTATAAATTACAAACGTCAAGTAGCCAACAATCAGGTCTACAATAACATGGAGGACCACTAACCTTGGGATCACGAATTCCCAGATTGGTCTCTTGGTGGCTTGGAGCTGCTTCGGCTGTGGGCAACAGTTGTCGGTGGCTCAGACTCTTCACGTTTGCGCTTTCTCTGGAGGCTTCTGGACCTTGCTTGTGCTGCATAATGTGTCTGTAACACAGGAGACAGTTATAAAAAAAAAAAAGCACCTGGCAAATATGTGCATATGAGAAACCTAAAGAAAACTGTGAGAGTGTGTGTGAGTGTAGGTTCTTAGAGGCATGCATACCTGCAACAGATACCCAACTCATCCCATCATGGACGAATATGTCAGGCTATTCTGTCAGTGTAGTGTAGTGTAGTGTATCCCCACAAATTTCTACTAACTTATTGCTATGTTAGGCAGCTTCAATGGCACAATCAAGAAGCATGAAAGCTTTGCCCTTCAGAGGAACATAAAGACTTAGAAAAGGTTATCAGAGGGGAGCTCACAGCGTGGAGACAGCAATGTAGTCACATTCTAAACTTTATTTTCAGGCTTTATTTGTACCATCACAGTGACAATTAGTGGCCACGAAGTATACAGATACAATGTGCCAGGCTGTAATATAGCACAGTGAACTGATAGTGGTACATTGGGTGGTAGATGACAGAGTACAGAGTCCTGTTGTGGACCTTTTGAATTATGTCTCAAAAATATGACTTTATCAAGACATAATATTATATGACAAGCAGCTCAATATAGCCGGATGTTAAGGGGTTAATTTGTCTTGGTTGGAAAGTCGAATGACCATCTGGCTGGAGAGGTGTAGACGGTGGGTGAAGGGATTTTTTTTCTCCCAGAGACAATATACTATTTTGAAGTTCTACAGGTGGTCAAACACCATTATTCAGACTTCAATAGCAGGTAAACATATACAAGGTCTGGACATGACAATAGAGGAACCAAACTGATTGTCTGAGAGCTTACCCAAACCTTGCAGAGTGTGATAAACCAACAGAACTCTCAAACTATCACAATTATGCTATTGTCCACCAAGGGTGAAAGCATTAACAGTTGTTTACTGTGACTCCAATACAAGAGCCAGGCAAACAGAGAGTTTTTCCCTACACATAGAAAATGTGATTCTAAAACAAAATTCAGGACATTTAAGTCTAAAAATTGACTGTATATAACTACAAAGATATACTACAAAAACATATTATAAAAGAGGTGTTATAAAGAATAGGTTTCACACACCACCAAATATTCAGCCATGGGAACTATATATCACTAACTTGAGTATTGAGATGATGGAAAGTAAGATGTATTATAAACTAGCATTAGTTACATGTCTTATCAGGAAACAAACAGGATGGTATTTCAAGAAGGAATAACTGAATATACACCTATATTCCATGGTCCCTATTTAGAATATTATAGGTATGATCACTTATATCTGGAAAAAGACGTATATTTGATCCCTGAAATTACCTTAAGATTCCACCCGAGGTATGAGTCATCTCAAATACTCAAATTGTTCTATGATACATGACCGCCACCTGGCGGGCAGTTGAGAAATAGCTTATGTACACACATTTCTCAACTAGCCAATCAAGAAGCCTGGTGGGAAGGTATCTTAGAACAATGGATTAGTGGATATAAAAAGCCCTTGTACCTTTAAGAAAAAAAAACTCATCAAGAAAAAAGTCATCAAAAGAAAAGACCTCATCAAAAGAAAACCTGACTGAAGAAAGAGCTGATTCTGAAGACATCTGAAGAGACCTCTCTATAACCCCTCTTCCATACTTTCAAACTTCCAAACTTTACTAAATTGCTAAACCTCTGTCCTTCTAACTTCCTACATTCTCCCACACTATTGAACTCTATCTCATTTTATCCCGTGGTCATCATTCTGAAGGCGTTCCATTGCCAGCTAAATCCACGGGAGAGTTTCCTAGTCTGAAGGCCGGGTGCGGTGAGACTGTTTATTTGACTTTGCATTACCTATTTTCTCTGTTGTGTGGAATCATAGAAATTACCTTAGTGTATCACAACAATATTGGGTAGTTCGAGATATATGTAGAGAGATCCTGTTTTTACTGTTAAAAATTGTTTTGGTGCCATATTATAATTTTTTTTATATTTCATAATTTATTGAATATTAATAATCAGAGTATAATATATCAAGGGCTAGCTTCTTGCAATCCTATGGCCACGGCTTGTGAGAATATCACCTTTGAGATACTCGAAATTATTAATTATTAATAAATTTAATTAATAACTCTGATCATTTAAAAATTGTGATATTGATGTAATTAGTTAGAAACCTTATTATTATGTATTACATTGGTAGGGTATATCTTTGATTGTGTGTACCAATATTCATTTATCACCAGTCTTTTGCGTTTTGTGTTAATATATATATAATTTTTTTGTACATAAATAAATTTTATATATTTATCTATTATAAGGCAAATTTTGTGTGTATGGTACGAAATCATATTGGCTAAAATAATTCAAGGTATAATAATAAGTGGTGATCAAATTATCAAGGTGTCCAAATTATTGGTATACTAAATATTTGCCGTATTTTAACGGCTGGAGGCACTGTAATATTTCATCTAAGGGAAAGGGACACGCCCTTTATAAGTAAAATATATCCTTACATAAACCACCACAGTCCAGGCCTCTTATACATCTTAACTACTTTATACACAGGCCAATTCTGACACTTCTCACACTTGCACGTAAAAATCAGCATTTTTTTTTCTTGCTATAATATTTTTTAGAACCCCATGTTCATTTTTAATATTTTGTTGAGAATCTTTTACTGGCAATGACTGCCTGAAATCTGGAACCCATGGACATTACCAAAGACTGGGTTTCCTCCTTTCTGATTCTTTGCCAGGCTCTAACTGCAGCTGTCTTCAGTTGTTCTTTGTTTGTGGGTCTTTCTGCCTTTAGTTTTGCCTTCAGCAAGTGAAATGCATGCTCAATTGGGTTGAGATCAGGTGATTGACTCGGCCATTGCAGAATAATCTACTTATTTTCCTTCAAAAGCTCCTGGGTTGCTTTTGCAGTGTGTTTTGGATCATTGTCCATATGTACTGTGAAGCACCATCCACTCTTAAGAGCTGTATTTCCTAAACCCTTCCTCCAATTTGGATGTACATACTCTCAAATTAAACCTGAGAGTGTGCACTTTCAGCCCATATCCATTATATAACTATAGCTTAAATATCTTTTGGTAAATACCTGAAAAAAATCTACAATTGAGCCTGTGTCCAAATAAATATGGACCTAACTGTATTTCCTCTAAGTCTGCAGGGTGTGAAGTTTGGAGATGCCTAATGTTAGCATATCAACGCCAAGGAGAATAATTCTGAGGACACCTCCTTTGAAATAAGGATTAAAAATTGTAATTGTGAATCAAACTGCTCTCGTTATGAGGACCTCTTACCTGGTTATTGCTTACATCAAGACCCAATGCATTCATTTCTTTTTCTAATGTCTTCTGTTGGACCTGTACAATTAGAGGAAACATTCAGATTATTAACAATGCTACAAACAAGTGTCAAGCAATAAATACTTAGCTATACTGTGATATGATCTACCTATCATGAAGTAACAGATAATGAACATAATTACTATACTGTGATATGGAATGAAAAAGATTTACATATTAATACTGTTTAACCACACTGCAGTATGGTGTGCCTGCATGGGACAATTGATATGCACATTATACTGTCTCTCAGTTTAGTCATTTCTGAACATGTACCAGTGATGACACTCCAACAGTTTGGACAACTAAGTTTCCTAAGGCACTTTAAAATGTAATGTGTGGCTTCTATATATTTCCCAACCAATTCAGCTCAGTCCCAGTTTTTATGGGAATGCTGTAACTATCATAATGAATCTGATGTGTGTTGGTCCATTTACCTTCTTAGCAGTTCTTGGCAATCGTGGGCCCTGTGTATCTTTCTCCTTTGACTCAAGGATCTTCAGTTTTTTCTTTTCCCGAATCTGTTGAGCAAGCTGTCGTATTTCGGCCATTTCCTCATCCTCACTCTCAACATCACTGTCATATTCTCCGGCTGCTTCCTTCAACTCCTCCTCTTTCTCCAGTTCCTCCAGTTTCTATTACAAATTAAATGCATACTGGATGTTATCATAATAAGCAGAAGACACTTCAAAAAGGTAACAAAACAAAATGGTCTAGTTGGAGCTACATGTACATGGGTGCCTGTACAATGTTCACATAATGAATTGTACAATGAATGGCCTGTACAATGTCCACATAAGACTTTGGTCAGTAAAGCCAGTTTGGACCTCCCCATGGAGCTTTTGGGGTTCACCGACCATTCTGAGCAGTTTACACTGCACAAGGTTGTGTCATTTTGAGAAATACCACACAAGCGGACAGAAATATCACAAGAGATGGCTTAAAATTTAGGAGGCTACAAAAAAATGAATCCAATAAATCCATATGTGATGTCCTTGTAAAGGAAGAGATCAGCAGATATGCAAACAGAGCCCAACACTCATAAAAACTATGATAATTAAAGCCCAAACCCATCATCTTTGTGAAATTCAGCTTCTGAGAAAACAGCTGGTATGGCAGATAATTCCCAAGGACAGCATGTTGTCCTGACATCCACGAACAGGGTGCAGTAGTAGTAAAACATCTTTTCAAGCTTCAAGTGGTTCTAAAGGAAAAACAGTTTTTACCCTAATGGATTCCCTGAATTTAGGTAAAAAAAATGTTGCCACTTGCTGTGCCTAACCACTCCCCTAAATACTTATAGGTCCAGTACTGTGACCGTCTGCCGGTCTTCTCTCCTCTCTTACTGCTCTCACAACCTTGACCGTCAGTCAAATCCTGTGTGCAAAGACCAGGGGGTGGGCTCAAACTGTGCTGTATGTCAATGGATGCACACAGCTTGGTTCGGGATCAAGCCTGCACATCTCCCCCACAGCAAGCACTTGCTATGGGGACAGATACAAGGAGCCAAAATCATCAGCAGGGGACCCCACAAGAGGAGATTCAGGGCTGCCCTGGCCAAAACCACTGTGCAAAGCAGGGCGAATGACACGTTTTCTATTTTACTTAAAAAAAAAAATATATATATATATAAAAAAAAAAAGCCTTTACAACGGCCTTTGTATAAACAGTACAAAAGCTGACAATATTACCTACCCCAAGGACTCAAATTTAGACTTACCTTCATGATATCCGGATCAATGTAATCTGCGATATTATGACCCTGCCAGATTTCTGGGATCTTATCATGCTTCTCGGATGGATTCATTAGATCCCAATATTCTAAAAACAAGATAAAAAACAAAAACCGCATGAGCAATTGACTTTATTGTACTACCTTTAGGAGGAGGATGAGTATGATTGTAACCATCGATCAGTTCTAAAATACCTCTAAGGATATGGAGCTTGAAATAACCACTATATGTGAATAATGCATTCCTCCTCCATACTCCATGCTGCTGTCTTGCAATATTTACAGCAACATTTATAACAGACAGCACTACTAATGAAGACCTCTTTCAGAAAGTATTATTTCCTTAATAGTCATGCAACCTCCAATGAACTGGAACCAGCATGCAGCCAATGAAGTCAAATGTTTAATTTCTAAACTTGTTCCAAGATAGTGACTTCTCTCACATGGTAAAGCTGAAGGGTGAGTTAGGCAGCAAAATAAAAGCCTCGGTAGCTTCTGTACTTCTACAGTGACATTAATAAAATTTTTAATGTTTATGTCCACTGTTGGCTTAAAAAATCTGTCCCAACAGCAATAAGGTGGGTGCCATTGCAGACAACCTTGTGAAAATGCTCATTGCCTGGCTATCACTGGCTTCAATATTGTCTTGGTTACGGACTAAAAACAAGCATGCAGATGAGAAAGTCAGAGCTCCCAAACAACATACTTATTCTAGGTCAGAGTTTTAAAATGTTCATTAGATTTATATAATTAGATTACCAGCAAGCACATTCTATATTCCTTTAAATATATCTCTTTGTAGTATATACAGGTCTTCAAAAAGCTGCCATCAAAATGCCTTTCCTATTGTTTGTATTATATTAATTTAACTGGAAATAAGAATTGTGAAGGGTTAACACTCACTCTGCAGGTCCAAGACATAATCATCCCCCATCTCCAGTTCGATGTCTCTCTCCTACAACACAAAATACAAGCATATTTGAAAGTGTTCAGTGCTGTAAAAGCCTCCATATACGATGGGGCCTATTTACTAAAACTGCATGGTGTAAAATCTGGTGTAGCTCTACATAGAAACTAATCAGCTTCCAGTTTTTATTGTGAAAGCTTACAGCAGAACTCCGGGCAAAAACGTTTTTCCATGTCCTTGCTGCTGATCTTCTACCTTCACTGAATATCTCCTCCATCTTCTGGTTCATTCAGTAGTTGCTCTAAAATAAGCTGATGATTTTCAAATCAAACCATTAATCCCCTGTGGCTTCCTGTTTGTAAGACTAGTGGCTGCTATGCCTCCTATTTCCCCAGCCACTGGTCTTGGCACATCCCCTCTGTAGTTCTTCTTCCAGGAAGCTGTGATGTATTTCCTCCCTGCTCACTGTAATGGGTGGAGTCAGACTCCTGGTCTGTATGTCCCACTGAGACAGTGTTCTAAGAATGACAGCTCAGGACACTCTGGGGTTTATTTACTAAAGCTGGAGAGTTCAAAATCAGACTCCCTTCTGCATAGAAACCAATCAGCTTCCAGGTTTCATTGCCAAAGCTTCATTGAACAAGCTGAGGTTAGAAGCTGATTGGTTTCTATGCAGAAGGGAGTCTGATTTTGGACTCTCCAGCTTTAGTAAATAAACCCCTCTGGGTCTGTCCCGCCTCCCATAGGTTCAGCTACGAGTCTCTGCACCTCCTCCACTAGTAACAGTCTATATACATACTAGAGATGCACCCAGATATCGGCGGCCGAAAATAGTGTTATCGCCACTCTGCCAATATGAAAAAAGGTGTTGATAATGGCCACATTAGGGTGCATTTTTCAAGACTCAAAAAATGCATCAAAACTGCAGCACGCAATTGCAGTGCATTTGTCGTGCTACAAAAATGCCCTGCATTTTCAGATGCCATAGGGCACGGTGATTCCACCCGCGATTTTAAACACCCTAGGGTGAATGGAGCCTTGTGCGTGCAAAAAGCACTGCAAAAACCAGATAAAACGCAATCTGCATTGGTGTAAACCAGGCCTGAAATGCATTAAAAAATGCAGTAAAAATGCACCGAAAACACACACGTGCTGCGGTTTTCATGCTGAAAACATTCAAAAAAATGCAAAACACATCAAAAAACGCAAAACACACTGAATTGGTGTGAACCAGGCCTGAAATGCATTGAAAACGCAGCAAAAACACACATTCTGCAGTTTTGATATCGTTGAGTCACAAGACGTATGAAAAGTGCACCCTAATTGCGGGTAAAATCGCATCAAAATCATGGGTAAAATCACGGCAAAATTGCAGGGGAAAAAAATTACAGCAAACTTCCGGATAAAATTACAGCAAAATTTCAGGTAAAATTGCTGCAAAATCATGCCAAAATGCATTTGTTGCACAGAAAACTGCCGCGACAGTAGCAAAAACATGCCGTGTTTTCAGGTGTCATTGAAATGAATCCCCCCAAAACGTCTTTTACAGTTATGGCTACTAACCGATTTCTTCTTAGGAGCATCCGTGTCCATTCGTTTTTTCCTGATCGTTACGCCCTCTGGAATGAAAGGTGGCCTTACCTGAAATCAAAACAGCAGCCCAACACAATATCCAGGTTAGGCAAACTTAAATTTAAATTTCCTTTTTAAGGTAAACATTTCCTAAATCTGAGATATTACACGCAGGATATGCTAAACATAGATGCGTAGAGCAGAGGTTATTTTCAGTGAAAGCCAAATGACAAATTGCAGTAATAATACAAGCTGCTAAAACCTTTCAAAGTTGAGCTTGACCCTGTCTCTCCCCCTCCTGGTCTTTATAGATCGAGTGAAACTGCCAAAAGGAAATGTGGGAGGCAGGAGGTGTGATCCCAAGCTCAATTTATACAGGAAAATCAATATTTGCATATTACCATCAGTCGTCTATACACAGATCTACTGATTATTTGCTCTACCTAGACATACCATATATACAGTGGGTATAGGAAACACCCCCTTTAAAATTGTCAAATTTTGTTGCTTTGCAGCCTGAAATAAAGACAGACACAGTTTTTGTTTTATCCAGCTGTATTTACTCCTTTAACCTTTAACTGAAAGATAGAACACCGACATGCCAGAAAAAAAATTCAAAAACAGAAGTACTGGAGTTGGAAAAAGGACCACCCACTCCTAAAAATGACTTGTAAACTCAATCAGGTGTAGCTAATCACCTTCTCAGTGGCACACAAAGCCATTTGACTTTCAACTGTGATCAGCTGTGGTCATTTTGATTAGCTCAGCATGAAAAGAGCTTTCCTGGAGCATTTTAGTCCCTGACTCAAAGAATACAGCAAAGAGGAGCATACAGTGGCTGAAGTACAGAAAGGAGAATGTCCTTGCATGGCTTAGTCAGAGCCCAGACTTAAACCCCATTGAAAATCTGTGGAATGACCTGAAGACTGCAGTCCACAAACAGTCACATTGAGCAGTTCTGCAAAGTAGACCGGGCAAATATTGCAAAGTCTAGATGTGCAAAGTTACTAGAGACATAGCCCAACAGACTAAAGGCTGGAATTAAAGCAAAAGGTGGCTCAACAAAATTCTGACACAAGGGGGTGATCCTTTTTCCAACTCAGTGATTCTGTTTTTGAATTTTTTTTCTGTGGCATGTTGGTGTTCTATCTTTCACTTGGATGTTATAAGTTGCACTGAGTAAATACAGCTGGATAAAACAAATCTGCGTCTGTCTTCATTTCAGGCTGCAAAGCAACAAAATGTGATTTTAAAAGAGGCGATTCTTTTCTATGCCCACTGAATGTCCTATTTGATAGGCTCAGATTTGTGACAGGTTTATTCTAAACAATAAGCATCTGAGGAGGCAAGAAAAAAAAAAGAAATGAAAAACATTAACTTAAGGCAAAGTGCCCAATTCTACCATTGCTCTTTTATTTAAAAGCACATACAATTTATTCAACACAGGATTCCTAGTTTTCTTTAAAAATTCATGATTCAAGAAGTAACACTAACATAACACCATAAAGTGTTTTCTACTAAAGCTATGCGTTCGCTTCCTATGTTCCTTAGACACAAACAAAAGTCTATCATCATTCAAAGTCATTTGTTTTTACAGAAATTGTAACTATGATATAAAATAAGCAATGTACTATACAATGTGACATAAGGGCTGGTTCACACCATAGAAACGCAGTCCAGATGCATTTCTGTATGCACATTCTTGATGCATTCCGATGTGTTTTTGATGCGTTGCAGTTCATTTTTCCCTCTCTTTCTTCAACTTAAATAAAGATATGTGCATTCTAGTGCGTTTTACTGCGTTCCAGTACAGCTCAGTGCAAAAAAAAATGCAGCATGCTCTACTTTTTTTCTCTGAAACTGGAATGACTGGAACTGACTACACTGGTGTGAACTATGGCATTGGAAACCATGTAACCTACTATCAATGCATTTTTGATGCAGAAAAGAAATGCACTGGACTGCATGTGGTGTGAACTGGCCCTAAAAGATGAAATCCTCTCACCTTATCATCTCTCTTGGTTGGTACGGCCAAGTGAAGCCTATTGAGCACATCATTCACTTTATTTCCCTTCATCTTGGTCTCCACTCGGTGGGCTAATAATCGGTCACATGCCTACGTCAAAGACCAGAATCCATTTAATAAAGACATCCCAGGAGTTTTAAGGCCATGTGGAAAATTCTAGCAATGCATACCTCTGTTTTAACTTGGATCACACCTTCCTCGGTCAGGGTGCTGGTCTCCATCACTGACAGCCCTTCATTTTCAAAGTCCTTGAAGATTTTCTGTTAAAAAAACCAAAGCAGAATACTGTTTTATATACTGCTATACTGGGCAGGGCTTACACTGTGAAACACACCACACGTTACGTATAGTTTCAAATTCAAGAGGTGCAGCAAGACACAATGGAAACCTGCAAATTAAACCAGTTATTTGTGCTATATTAAACAAAATAAGAAGCCAAATAAATTACTTGAATTTTTTTGGTTAAAGTAGAACAATACTCACCTCAGCTCCAATGATGCAGCATGCCCGAGCTCCCTGTCCAGTAGGGATGATGTCACCTACGTGCATGCGCAGGAGTACAGTCAGATTTGGTGTTGCCACATTTGTACAGTGAGCTGCACGTGCATGGCTCTGTGTACAAGGGTGAACAGGCAGGTAAGTAGCTTTAAAGCATAAGAGACAAAGCATGTCTCTTATACATTACAAATCCTGTCTGTCCACTGATTTTAAATCCTTAGCATAAGTTCCACTTTAAAGTGGTAATAAAGTCACTTTGTTCATTTTAAACAACAGGTAAGCTTAGAATAAAAGGCATACCCGTGTAGTTCCTTCAGAGCATTGTGCTGTGGCCCTGGAATAGTCATCATGGCTCAGCCAGTTAGACGGCCAGAGCAAAAGAACCTGGAAGGAAAAACTGGTGAAGATGAAAACCTCTACAGCGGTGACAGCGTGCCGCTGGAGGGCTCCGTTTTAAGTCAAGTTTTACATAATGTGCTAGTATGCGATGCAACTAGATTATGCCATTGCCTTGCAGGGGATTGTTTTTATTTTTTGAGATGCAGTTTACTGCCGTAAGTTAGCCTTTAATGCCAGGAGATCTGCACTATTAGTTTTCTGCCACACAGAGCGATGCTCTACCGTTAGTCCACCTTTCAAACTAAATCAAATACTTGGGGCCCATTTAGACCTAATCATTGCAGTTCGTTCTGGTAACATGTACATCACTGCAACACCCCAGGCATGCAATTTTTCTCCACTCTATCAATTTCTAACAGTGTAGGCGGTTTTCATTTTGAAAATGTTAAAAGAAAACAAAATTTCTATGTTCTGTGAATTTTCATATGAACTTTCCTAAGAACTTTCATTTAGAATCCTACTAGCGTATACCCAGCTTAACCTTCCCTTTAATTGTAACCCTAATCCTAAAATTAACCCTCCCTTATAATCCCAACCTTTACATAAAGGGATTTTAACCCCTTACATATACACCTTTTCTGCACTGGAATACTCTTCACCAAAAGATAAATGGCACCACACTCTCCTACTTGGGTTTTAACCTATATCTTTTAACAGACAGATTCATTGTTAAGCTGAAAAAAGAATTGAATATGACTCTTTTGCACGATGTGAGCCTCAATCCCTGTAGTTTTAAGGCTCGATTACCCTGTAGTTTAGCATGGCACAGAAAACAAGGCACATCCACACTGATGTAATAGACCACACAATTTTAAGGTTTCACCCACTGGTGGGCCAGGCTATAGTTTGGTATATACATTCTCAACAAGCATAAAGGCCACAAACCTGCAGAATATAGTATGTCAAATGGTATATGCAATACTACTCCTATTAAACTAAACTTGTAGTGAGCCCTGTGCACAGGTTCTCCATTTTTATGACCCAGTCATAGCTCTCTTACCTGCTGTTCCTCGCCCAGTTCTGAGACCCTCTTCACATCACACTTGTTCAAAATAATAATTAAAGGCTAAAGGAAAAGCACACAAAAAAAATGAATTTAAATCAACTGCAAGCAACACTTATTTACTTATCTGAAATCAGCATTATGGAAGACAAACCTTATTGGCAAACAGAGGACGGATGTTATTGAAGAGCTCCAGCTGCTCCTCTATGGTGTGTCCACACTGCTCCGAGATGTCCATTACATAGAGGATAGCAGCACGAAGGTGAGCCAGAGCGGTGATAGCTTGCATCTCAATGGTGTTCCTCTCCTCCAGGGGGTGATCCAGAATACCTGGTGTGTCCACTACCTACGATGTACCACAGGGAGGATTAGTAGTTAAAACCTATGTGAAGATCCCTTCTTTTTATCCTTGTGATACTGAAGTGAATTCTTATATACTACCCTTCTTTGCAGATTTAAAAAAAAAAAAAAAAAGGACCAAAGATTTTACAGCTGTAGCAGCTATGCTGTTTGTTCCTCTGCTTGCTCCCGTATGGACAGGGCACTCAAGCAACAGCTCAGTCAGAGAGATATGGAGAAAGGGGCAGGGTCACAGATGGAAACCCAACGCAAGTCAGCACATGGCAGGTTCAAAATTAAAGTATGAAGGCTTTTTTATATGGTTAAAATCCATAGAATGGGACCCATTATGTCAAAGCTGGAACCTGCCTTTGGTGCCATTTAAAGTTTTCAGTACACATGGACTGAATTATGGTCCCTTTTAAAATGAAACCCATGTGTTAAATAAAAAACAAAACAAAAAAAATGATCAATAATGCTTATTTAAATGTTCTCAATAGCAAAAACTAACCTGCCAGCGGAGGTATTTATAATCCATGTGTCCCACAAACAATGACTTGGTGGTAAATGCATATGGCTGCACCTCTACGTCTGCTCTGGTTACCTGAAAAACAAAGAGCGATCATTCAAGCGATCATTACAACCATCTATCAAATGCTCCTATTTTCCAATGGCCTAAATTATATCTCTGTGCTACTGTGTTAACAGTATAAAAATAATAGTGCATATTACACAACACAGAATACTACAGGACAAAACAGAAACCAGTTAGGACTGAGCTTTGCAAGGGTGAAAATATTTCAGTGTAAGTATTTTCTGTGAGCAGGCTTACTTGCAAAGTTTTATATTGTACACCAGAACAGGAATAGAGGGGAACTCTTCCAATGGGGACACTTGTTCCTGTGACCAGAGATACTTGTTCCTGTCTGAAAGGGGAAATTTCCCTAATGAGAAAAACAAAAAACACCTGACAGTGGTTTTACCCTCCCGTACTCCAATCCATGAAAAAAAAAAGTTTTGGCTTAAAGTGTTACTAAACCCAGGACCCTGCATTCACTATAACCGGGCTCCCACAGTACACACAACATGGAAATGCAATTATTTTAGTAAATATAAACTGCTAAAAACCTTTTCTCACCAGCAGTTAGAGCAGTCTTGTGACTTTAGCAGAGCACTGGTTAAAGCTTGTAGGAGTTTTCATTCTGCTCTAGGAGGATGTGAAACCTCTGACCCTCTGTCTGGACAGTGCTGATTGGTCCTGTGCTAATCACATGCACCCTCCCAAGAAAAGAAAAAAACCCTCTCCAGCAATACACACCAAACTGAGTATATGCATGTGACCATGGGTTTAGTCTGTATCAGGTGGTCATTTCAACAAGAGGAGGGGCAGAGAAGAAAGGATCAAACAGCCTTTATACACAATGCAGAGGATTCACCCCTTAGGTTCCATAGGGAGTATAACAAGCATGCTTTACTGCATATACAGACTGATTGTACTGTTGTGGGTTTAGTAACACTTTAGGATATAATTTTGGAGCAAATCAAGCCATATCTGAATCCTATCATTTGGAGTCAGGGAGGCCCTGCTGTCTGGGAGCCTGGGATAGAGCTGCCTGGTGTATGTTGCTCCATATATTGTGTGCTTCATAGAAACATTTGTTTGAGCTAAGGTTAATAACAAGTATTCTGGGCTCTCGCATAGGATCTCACAGCATGACATGCTGAAATGGGCAAAAATCATAACACGGGGCTTACAAGAAGCAGGGCGACCCATAGAAGAATCAAACTCCGATTCACACAGAAATGTTTAAAGAATTACGAATTTAAATCTGCCAAAGCACACTACATAGGTAAAAAACCTCAGAAGCCATTTTGACTTCTGGAGTGTACTAGTTTTGGGGCATGAACATCACAGGTGTCCAACCTTTTGACTTTCCTGGGCCACACTGGAAGAAGAGTTGTCTTGGGCCACACAGAAAATACACTAACAATTAGGATAACTGATGAGCAGAAAATTCCGGCAAATTACAAGTTAATGATCATGGATATAAATAATGTACCTATCTGAGAAATAAAACTTTATTTTTTTGTAAAATTTTGTATTATAAAGTAAGGAGGACAACATAAAACTAGTGCAAAATTTGACACTGTTCTTGATAAACAAACATATCAATATCTGGTTTGGAGGATGTAGTAGCAATTCTCAATGCATTCTCAAGGTCTTTATCAGATATTTTGATTCTAATTTGCCCTTTGTGCACTTCGTCCTTAAACATACTTGCTCACAAAGGTGCTGCTGAAACCTGACATAATTAAGATATAATTGTGAAGAGTAAATTATTTTATTTAGGGAGGACACAACTTCGAAAAGTCCAGTAAAGAGACCCTGTCAAATATTTCTTCAGCTGCATGTGTTTGCCAAGTGTAAACTCATTTTAAAAACAACATTTTTAAGTAAGTTTACGATTTTGTGTTGGGCCGCATTCATAGCCATCTCAGACCACAAGTTGGACAAACCTGACTTAGAGAAAAGCTAAAAGAGTACCTGTCAACATAACAAGTAAGGCATTAATAGCAGGTTCCCTTTTAGAACTAATTAGAGTGAAAGCAGAATGCATTCTGCTGGTTGCAGTCACAACGTTAACAGCTACTACATTAGGTTAGTGACGTATCTGCTGAAGAGAAATCTGTAGGCTGTGATTGTTGGTTGTTGGGCTGTTTCAGTCTTTGATACTTGGAGTAACTAAACTGCAGAAACTAAGCAGCAAGATGAGTTTGAATTCCTGTTTAAACTCAATTGTCCTGGATCAATAATAAGTAGTACTGACACCAGCTGATCAGAATGACAGCCTGGAAACTAGCCCTTTCACAAGGTGTTGGCAATAGCAGCCCTTAGATTTCTCTAATTACAGGTTTACTTTAACAGTTTCTGCATCACTGCCTTCTGACTTCTCACGCTGGTAGTTTGCCTTGTGGCAAACTCCCTCGAATGCACCCAAATCCACCCAACACAAACATTTCCATGCTAAGTGTCAATATAATTGACAAGTATTTAACCAACAGGGAACAATGCAGTGTAAAGTTATTCTACTATACTTAAAAGTGAAATTCCTGCCTAAAACTATCTATTCTTAAAAAATATCCCTTCCCCCTCCTGCTACCTATACTGACTAACCTATGTAAAAAACATCTGTATGCTTAATTTTTTTTAGCCCACTCCGTTTCGGTCATGTGACCACATCAATGAGCGGTGGCTGCAGGGGGAGAGGTGGGAGTGCTTGACAACGGCTGGGAATTCTAGGAGCTGTAATGTCACCCATAGCCCAGCTAATGGATGTGCCCCCTCCTCTCCCCTGCAGCTGCCCCTCACTGACAGAGAGAAGCCAGAACTGAGGGATCATGTGTCCGGACTTAAAAAAAAAAAGGTAACTAGCCACAACTTGATTACACTGGTTATGAAGAATAGGTAGAAGGGGGGGGAGGGAACATGACTGTATATAGCTAATCCCACACAGTTTCTGGCGATACCATTTGGAACTTTACTTTGTTGTTCTTGTATTAACTGATGAATGCTACATTTCATTGCTCTGCCTACAACAACTCGCGGTTGTCTGAATATTACGTCTTCAGTGTTAGTGAGCGAGTTATGTACTGTTGATTACTTTTCATTTTTTTTATGAAGTGGATATAATGACTGAACCCTATTTCCCGAGACTTATTGTGCATTGTATGTTTAATACCTGAACTTTTCTTAATAAAAATAAAGTGAAAGGAAACAATGTGGTTACTGGATGTTCTGTAATATACTGTAGTGGCAATAGGCCTACATACAGTAAGCAACACTGTGTTCCAGCAGCAATATGGGTGACTTAAAAAGAGTATTAAAAAGAGTCGGGCCAAGTACTTCTCTGCCATTCAGGAGAAGTCTTGTATTTTTATCATTGAATACAAGGATGCCTCTGATTGGCTGAGGTGGAAGTTGTGACATCATACGTCCTTCTCTGCACCTTGGCCAATCAGAGAAAGCCTTTTATCCACTGATATAAATACAAGGTTTCTCCTGAATGTCAGAGCAGCATTCAGCCCGACTCCATTTCCAGCTGCAGACTGGAGCTCATCCATACTATTGCGAGAACACAGTGCTATATACCGTGTGTAACTAATGCTACCACTGTATACCACAGCACACTCAGCAGCTGCATTGTTTTGTATTGAAATTAGTTCACTTAGACCAACTTGGCCCAAACAATCTATATTTTAAGTGATAATAAAGCTGGAAAAATTAAGGAGGTATATTCATAAAGCAGCGAATATGACATTCACCAAACTTTCACTGCAGGTACCTGTGTTTTGATTGAATATGACGGATTCACCACCAGTGGGTGTTTGGTGAATGTCAAATTTACTACTTTTATAAATATGCCCCTGAATATTATTGACTGTTTAAGCTGCACAGAGTAAAATAATGTAAATATAGAGAAATTCTGGTTAAAATAGCACAAACCTTATTTATAAAGCTGGACTTGCCGACGTTTGGATAGCCACACAACAGCAAGGTTCGTGTATTAGGGTCAATAGATGGCAATCGGGACAGATGTTGGCGAACTGTATAAAATAACAGTATATACAAATAAATTGCAGATGACATCAACCTCCCTCTTCAACACTAAGATGCACATACAGTACATGGGACACCTTTACATATCACAGGATCCCTGCACATACAGTACATGGGACTCCTGTACATAACACAGGATTCCTGCACTGTACACATCCTGCACATAGGGTACATGGGACTCCTGTACATAACACAGGATTCCTGCACATAGGGTACATGGGACTCCTGCACATAGGGTACACAGGATTCCTGCACATAGGGTACATGGGACTCCTGTACATAACACAGGATTCCTGCACATAGGGTACACAGGACTCCTGTACATAAAACAGGATTCCTGCACATAGGGTACATGGGATTCCTGCACATAACACATGGGATTCCTGCACATAGGGTACATGGGATTCTGCACATAAACAGGATTCCTGCACATAGGGTACATGGGACTCCTGTACATAAACAGGATTCCTGCACATAGGGTATATGGCACTCCTGTACATAACACAGGATTCCTGCACATAGGGTACACAGGATTCCTGCACATAGGGTACATGGGACCTGCACATAGGGTACATGGGGGACACCTGTACATAACATAGGGTACAGGATTCCTGCACATAGGGTACATGGGACCCTGTACATAACACAGGATTCCTGCACATAGGGTATATGGACTCCTGTACATAACACAGGATTCCTGCACATAGGGGGTACACAGGATTCCTGCACATAGGGTACACAGGATTCCTGCACATAGGGTACACAGGATTCCTGCACATAGGGTACACAGGATTCCTGCACATAGGGTACACAGGATTCCTGCACATAGGGTACATGGGACACCTGTACATAACACAGGATTCCTGCACATAGGGTACATGGGACCCCTGTACATAACACAGGATTTCTGCACATACGGTACATGGGACTCCTGTACATAACACAGGATTTCTGCACAAACGGTACAGGGGAAGTGGTTATACAGCTTTAGTTGTGCTGCAAAGCAGAACTTCTGCTATTCTCACCTAAGCAAGAACTGCTCCTGATTTATCTGCATGCACAGATTTCTTGTACCGAGAAAGCACTGCGGCAAATCTGTGCATGTGCTCGGACCCTGGGTATCTGCGCACATGCAAAGACTGCAACTAGGGAAGTCTGAAAACAGGTTTGCATTTGCAAGTATACAGATGTACCCACAGCTCTGCCAGGACCCGATGGTTGGGCAGACCCCATGGGTAGGGTACATCTGCATGTGCACCATAATGGTGGTACCGTGGAGTGGAGCCAAGCCACCTGGAAGGCGGACTTCCCTTCTGTCTGCATCCGGGGCTGTTCACCTACACTGATGTCAGAGTGGGAGCAGCACCTGTGTCTGTGCAGCCACTACGTTCCAAATGACATTAATAGGACTGCCTGAACAAGGATGCACAGAACATCTGTCCATTCCCATGCAGGTAAACACACACCCCCACGGATGTACACTTTGATATGTCCTTAAAGTGACTTATGCCACTCCTCTTCCTATGGAGACAGGAATAATGGAGGAAGTGAAAGGGAACAAAGACATATTCACAACTCCTATTTAGGGATTTCTATCAAGCTGTGACAATGCAGACAAAGCAATAAGGAGCCTTTATGCGCAGGTACTATTAGGTGGGATAGTAAGAGAAATGTTATGGATCACTTAGATGTCCCATCAATATCTGCAGTCATGTAACCCAAGACATGTACAATATATGTGCCATGTATTACATGGAAATACCTTGCTCCAGATATTCCAAACTCTGCTTCTGCCTTTTGATAATGGTGCACATGCGCCCCAGAGCGGCTCGTTTCAGCTGTTTGCAGCGATATAAAGAATCCCCATATTTCATCAACCTCACATAATCCTTGGCCACACTGAAACAGAACACAGAGACAGTCAGATGAGCTCCAACAGGATGAATTATCAATGATGAAAAAAAGGAAATGTTCACTCACTTGTCAATTAGGTTTTTAGCGATATTTATCTGTCCCAAAGCCAGTTTGTAATGGTCTTTGTCATACAGGACATTCATTAAATCTGCATAAAATGGGTGCACATCCTATAGAAGAAAAAAAAAATGTAATGGTGTTCTCTGGCGTATTTTATTATGCCTTGCAACACAACTGACTAAAGACACTCTTAAAATATAACTAAAGGCAAAGGAGGGATTAGAACACTTGTCAGGTTTTTATTGCTGTCTGTGCCCCCATTAGGGAGAATCACCCTCTCTTTTTGTACTGTTTATAGTTATCATTGAAAGTGGAAGTAAAAGAAAATCCCAAATTTCAGGTTGTCCCCAGAAAAGTAAGAGGGGAAATCTTGCAATGCAGACAGCAATTCTGGTGACCTGGGGGTCCCCAAGGAATTCCTTTGATTTGCAGGATTTCTTCTCACTTCCTTTTGGCTATGGAGCAAGAAATAAAGGGAAATCTCCACAATTGGACACAGATGGCAAAAAAACTGACAGAAGTTATAACCAAAATAAAAAAAAAATTTTTGCCTATATTTCTACTTTAATTTCTGGTCAACAGAAATTCTGCAGCATGAATCTTCAGCACAGATTATTCTTCTCGCTGCTTCACGCAAGTGAACTGCTTTAGCGCCCCATAGGGAGAAAAAGAATCAGGAGATACTCACGTCCAGTTTAGGAAAGTCTGTGAGAATCTGGGAGAGCCGATCGTGGTAATTCTGCTGTGTAAATTTGACTTTTCTCATATAAAAATGCCGGATTCGGTTAATCTGATAATTTTTGTGTATAACTGTCGGCGTCTTTCTCTGAGTTTTTGACAAAGTGAGGTCGACAAAGTCCTGCAAGACACAAGAACAATTAAAATCCTCAAGATGGATTTGCAATTACTCAAGCTTTTGTTATGAAGGGCAAAAAACGAAAGTCATCCATGTTCTGCTACAAAAACCTACCTAGGTAAGCCTTTGGACACAATGGTGGCTAAGCACAGGTGTATGGACAAGCCCTGCATCCACAGCACAATTTAAAGGATAACTTTACAACCCGATCTTAGCAGCCATCGCCACCTTCTCCATACTATCTATACCCCAGATCAGCATCCAATCTGAAAGCAGAGCCACAGCCTACCCTGGGTACACATTACTGCGCACATGCAACTTTTCTTAATAAGCCCTAATAAAGAACCAGTCTTCTCACTGATCTGGGGTATGCACAACAGGGAACAAAGTACAGAACTACTTCAATCTATTCTTTTAAATCTTATTTTAATAAATGACTCCTTCCATGCCAATGTAGGCCATAATACATGACCTCCTACTCTCTAGCTCCCTTGTCTCGTCTCCAGGACTTCTCCAGAGCTTCCCCCATCCTCTGGAACTCTCTACCCCAATTTATCAGACTATCGCCTACTCTGCTCACTTTTAGGCGATCTCTGAAAACCTCTCTCTTCAGGGAAGCCTATCCTGCCCTCAGCTAATAAAGGATTCTTCTACTCTTCCAACCAGTTCATCCCCCAGAGTTACTACCTTTTGTACCACTAGCTCCTCCCTCCTAGATTGTAAGCTCCAAGGAGCAGGGCCCTCCTATCCCTCTTGTATTGAACTGTATTGTTGCTGTATTGTCTCTCGTTATATTGTAAAGCGCTGAGCAAACTGTTGGCACTATGTAAATCCTGTATAATAATAATAATACATGGGGCAGCGTGTCTCACTTCCCTCCCCAGCGGAATCTACAACCTTTTTCTTCACTCCTCCATTCACCCACAGGAAACAAAGAAAGACAGCTGAAATGTCTGGGTATAGAAAACCCTGACTCGCTCACCCTGTGAAAGTGCTTTTACCTTGCAACTGACCACCATAGAGGGCAGGGAAGGATTCATAGCCCTGTGTAAGCCATAATAAGTCTGTATGGGGATTAGAGGTGGCTTTCTTTTGCTGGTACTATACCCTGAATGTTTTGTATTTGTGATGAAAGTGAGACAGACAGACACCAGGGAGAGACTTATCTCTATAAGCCAAGACCCTTGTTTATAAACCACTTCCTCCAGCTTTAGAATTAATTTTCATGTATGAAAAATCTATTTAAAATAACTGAAAATGCAACAAAGTATACAATGATTATTATTATTATTATAAAGGATTTATATAGCGCCAACAGTTTGCGCGCAGCACTTTACAAAATGAAGGTATACATTACAGTTACAATACAATTTGGTACAAGAGGAAACAGAGGGCCCTGCTCGTAAGAGCTTTCAATCTAGGATTGCGTACCATATGTTGTATATACAGGTGTGCCTCAGTTTACAAACGCCTCGGGTAACGTAATTATCGGTTTACGAATGGAAATCCATTGAAAATAATACCTCGGTTTACAAATTTTTTTTGGCAATACGAAGTGTATGTCGGTGCCAATTTTTAAATGCAATTGCCAGATTTTTTTTTTTCTTCACTATAGCTCACAGAATTAGCTGTCACTTTCACCGGAGCTAAAGGATACTTTGTTTCTTTTATCTGGGGGAAATAAACTTCTTTTAGCTGGGGGCAAAGTGACAGCTGATTCTCTGAGCTATAGTGAAGAAAAAAAAAAAAAAAAGCTGGAAATTACATTTAAAAACCGGCACTGACCTATAGTAATAGTGACTTTTTTTTTTTTGACATCCGGAACGGATTCATTGATTTTCAGTGCATTCCTATGGGAAACCACAACACATCAATTAGATCCCTTTCACATATCATGTAGTGAGCATTCCTGCTATGCGATTTTCAAAATGTGATTCTGCTTGTCTCATAGGGCCAGCCCATTCAATTGAATAGGCTGCCCTATGCACATTTTTCACCCAAAAAGAAGCTATTTCTTTTTGGGCGACAAGCGTCACATGATAATTGCCTCATCACATTTTGTTAGGGTTGCCATTAAGGAAAATGCAATTTGGAATCGCAGGTGATTCTGCCAGAGATTCCAAATTACGGAGTGTAAATGGAGCCTTAATATCATCCCTGAGGTATAACTGTATACTAAACATAAGAAAGCTGCCACTTGCTGAGTACCCTTACTGCCACTTGAAGCTGGACTGGGAATCCAAAGGACATTCTGTAACAGAGGAGGGTAAACAAGGGTGCAAAAAGAGTTATATAGTGCACCAATACCTTCATTAAAATAGTACACAAAAAACAGGCGTATTGCATTTATAAGTGTGAGTGTATGAACTCTGATTTTACCTCCTCTATTACAGTATATTACAGTAAGACACATAGTTAAAGGAGGATTATAATAAAGAACATCTGACAGGGGCTCATTAGCACAGGTAGGGGATGACATAAGTGGCTCACGTTAGCACAGAAGAGCCGGATAGTTAAAGCTAAACACCAGGATAATAGCTAAACTGATTAAATATAATTACGGTGCTGCTTTACCTGCCAAAAGATATGCATTTCTGTCCTTCCAGTGCTGACATCTACACAGCTCTGCCCACAGTACAGATCTGCCTGGCAGGGGTGACCACCTGGTTTTCTCTGCTGTAGTTAAGTAACCCTTACAGGTCTTGTCCCCCCCCCCCCCCCCCCCCAGCCTATGACTGGGCAGTGAAGGAAGGAGCTGCAGGTGGATGATCTGTCAGTTTACTATCTCCTCCTATCAGCATGCTCCCTACACTGTGCTTAATGCTCCTTGAGATGCTGCTTCATCTCCCATTAGTGACAGGTCCCAGAAGACTACGGGACCATTCACAAAGTGCAGCGCATCTCGCACATGAGCAATGAGCACCGGCTGTGAAGCCGCAAGCTGTCACAGCTGGGTGCCCACAATGAAGATTTCAGCGCCGGGAACACAGTGTGGCCGCTGAAATGGGTGGCAGGGAGGACACAGTGGGATCGAGGGACAGGTGTCCGTTTTTTAAAAGTCAGCAGCTACAGTTTTTGTAGCTGCTGACTTTTATTAATTTTTTTGGTTTTCTCACTGGAACTCTGCTTTCAGCCCTGGTTCACACTAATGTGGTGCAGAATTCGCAGCCTTTTCTGTGTGAATTTCGCACCGCATCAGAATCGCACCCCATGTATGTGAACCTCTGTGGGTGTGTATGTTAACACCACCACAAAAGCGGTCCGCAAAACGCAGTGCAATGTGCAGAATCGGATCGCATTGTTGTGAATACCATGTAGTCCAATTCTAGTGCGGACCCAAAAAAAAGGGTCCTGCACCTTTTTGGTGCAGTGCGATTAGATACAAAATGTACGGCTCCAGTCGCACCGCACACAAATCGCATGTTATTTGCACAGAAATGAGGTGCGAATCACATGGGAAGTGCCACAACGCATATATGTGAACCCAGGCTAAAAACTGTCCATTTCTGTTTCGGTTTTCGGCCAAGTGCATCCTGAATTTTTGGTTTTGGTACTTTACATATATATTGTACATAGCACATCAGTCCCTAACCCTCAAGGGGTGTACAATCTAAGGTCCCTAACTCATACATACACATACTAGGGCCAATTTAGACAGGATTCAATTAACCTCCCAGCATGTCTTTGGAGTGTGGGAGGAAGCCAGTGTACCTGGAGGAATCCCGCGCAGGCACAGGGAGAACATGCAAACTCCAGGCAGGTGGTGCCGTGGTTGGAATTCGAATCAACAACCCTAGTACTGCCAGGCGGAAGTGCTAACCATTTAGCCTCTGTGCTGCCCAATTTTGTAATGCAAACTGTTGGCACTATATAAATCCTGTATAATAATAATAATTCTCTTCTATTGGCTGCTGGCACTCGGCTCCCCACCAATAGAAGAGGAATGTCTGCTTCCGCTGTACACAGCCCTGTGCCCATGTGAAGGCGCCTAATAATGCGCTCACACCCGTGTCGGGGCTTTTCATACGGTTTATGGCGTGTTTTTATACACGTGTACAGCCCCCACCCAAGAGCCCCACTCCCCATCCCTGCATGCCTATCAGACTAGACACATGACAACTGCCACTGAGGACTCCCCTGAAGACATGCTAACTGCCATGACTATCCTACACATGAGGTAGGATGAGCTCCTGACATATCAATGTATGAAGTCAGAGGAGGAGTATGACAGGCCGGGATCTGATCAGACTGTAGAAGAGAACTGACACCCCTTCCCCCTAATACAGGGAGAGGACAGCCCCCCCACTCCGGCCTGTATGGAAGATCGTGGTGACTCGTCCCATGTATGTGAGCACACAGCATGGATGGTAGGCAGGCTCTCCACGTGTCTCATGTGGCCTGGCTACAGTCACGTGTCGCACAGCGGACCCCCCAGATATAACACAGATCCCATCCCCGGACGTACCTTAGCGGTGGGGACCACCATAATCTTCTTGAAGTTGTACAGCGCCATGTCTGCGGCGTGCGATACCCCGACCCGAACTTCGAGAGAGTGGAAGAGACCGGAAACCGGCCGACTGAGAAAAGGGGAAGCGGAAATCTCGGCCAAACACTGGAGCGGCCATGATGATTGTGGGCTAATTTGCCCGACGTTTGACGGCTGTATTTTCGAGGTTTCAGCCAGTTTGAAGGTCGAAGAATGGTCTTCATTTGATCTACATTATTGTAGGAGATGCCAAGCCAGTCAGACTTTATCCTGTGTAACCAAGGCGGCCTCATCTTTTAGTTCTCATGTAGTATGTTACTATAGCAATGTTTTCTACTGACCCCCAATGTAAGGGACCCTTCCATACTGACCGCCAACGTAAGGGACCCTTCCATACTGGCCGCCAACGTAAGGGACCCTTCCATACTGACCGCCAATGTAAGGGACCCTTCCATACTGACAGCCAACGTAAGGGACCATTCCACAGTGACCGCCAACGTAAGGGACCCTTCCACAGTGACCG